TCTCTCTCTCTCTCTCTGTGTGTGTGTGTGTGTGTGTGTGTGTGTGTGTTTGTGTCTTTCTGGTCAAATTAAAAAATAAATAAATAAATAAATAAATAAAATGAATAAATAAAATAAATAATTCTTTTTTCAAAATTATTTTTTATTATTATTTTAAAAGTTTGCTAGAGACTGCATGCATTCACCAGAGATAGACAAAAAGAGAGATGTAAAGTGAGAAAGTACCCCTCAAGGAGGATGGTCACACTGCAATCCCTTCTCCACCATTCTCCTCTCAGGATTTGAACACATGTATGCACACACACTCTGTATGTTCCAGGTAGCCAGGTCTGAGACTCAAACTGTGCAGTCAGCCATGTGGTATCCAGCCACGTGGTAACCACCGCACCATTAGCTACCCCTTTCTTCCTTTTGAGCACAAATATGGTGTTGGGAATAAAGAAGCCATGTTACAATATGAAATAACAAACAAGAAAAACACCAGTATAACTGCAGAGACATCAGCTGAAACTTTGCTAATATGCTAACTTAATGCCAACAGCTGCCTATCTTAGGACTTCTTAGGTAGCAAAAAATAAAACTGAAGTTGCTTAAGCTTTCTACTTCTTTCAAATAAATACACTGCTAAGTTAAAGAAGAATTTAGTTTAAGTGGTCTAGTTCTAGTACCAGACATGTAGCAACTCAATTATTCATTTAACAAAATGTATTTAGTGCTATTATGTGTTAAGCACTCAGCTAATATAAAGATAAAGCAATAAATAAGACCAGCAACATGGCTGCTCTTATGAAATTTAGTCTAGTGAAGAAAGTCATGCAATAAACACATCAACAAAATTTCTCATACTGCTATATACAATAACAAAAATAAAACTGGGTAATATGATAGGTGTGACTGAGAGAATGAGCTGGAGATGGGGAATGAGGTCAAAATGCGCTTTAGAAGAACTGAGGCCTGACTAATTGGGCAAATCAATAATGCAAAAAGATCTAGGTATAAAGGTACTCACTTTGGCAGCACATATATTAAAACTGGAGCAATACAGAGAAGATTAGCATGGCCCCTACACAAGGACAGTTTTTCTTTTTCTGTCGACAAATAAATTAATGTCTGCTTTGAAATGTCATTTATCTACTCACACTTTCTTGGATAAAAAAAAAATCAAATGTCAATCCTAGCAGATGTTGCATGTAAATTGATAGCAAGTAATGACTACAACTCAAGATGATTAAGAGAATTTTGTAACAGAAAGCTCTGTTGTGTTTTAATTTTTTATATATAATTATAATAATTAACACATTGTAAAACTATATAAATCTTTGCTTTTTAAAGTTTATTTTTACTATTTCTTTATCACTGTTTAGTATACCACCATTTGTTTCATAATGTAAATACTATACATGGAACAAATTAAATGTCAAAAATTTTATTACCATAGTTCATATTAATAGAGGGACTTTCAAGTGTCTAAAGACTTGTTTTGGTTAATCTTCAGTGCAAAACTACTAGATGGTGTATAATTCTAGAGTTGAATTTTAAGGGATTCCCTAATATGTATACTATCTTTTTATCTGAAGTAATAAATAAACTTAATGATTTTGAAAGTGAAAAAAAGGTACTCTAGACAAAAGAAAAGCAAGTGAAATGTCTTGGCACATCATTTAGGAAAACAGCAAAAATCAGTGTGGCTTGGGTAGAGCAAGTAATGAAAAATGGTGGTAAGAGATAAGAGAGGTAGGCAAGGATGATAGAGTACCATAAAGATAAGAAGTTTGAATTTCATTCCTAGGATAATAGAAAGCTACCAGAAGGCATGGTGATTAAGGTGCTAGGCTCCCACAGGGTTGATTACAGTTAGAGTTCTGGACCTAGTGACTTGCTTTCTCACTTTCCCTCTCCCTCTGTCTCTGATGAATGTATGCGCCCTATAGCAAATTTTAAAATAACAATAATAACAATAAATAAATAATATTAAGTAAATAACACTTTTTTTAAATGCTACCAGAAAGTTTTGATTAATAAATAGTATCTAAACATTTTAAACACAGTATCATAATATGAATTTGGGGTTTTACTACCTTACTGTGTAGAAAAGTCTCCTATATCACCAAAATAAATTATTTCTCCTATTTCAGCAATAGCACAAATGAAAGCATCCTTCATCTAGAAACAATCAGCCTTAAGAGCACCCAAAGCACATAAACTTAGTTAAATGGTGCCACCTGGTGACATAAATCTTGCAGGAAATACAATGCTTTTCCCTTACCAGCAAGAGGTATGTCATATAAGTTCCAAGACCTACAGCAGATGCCTGAGAACACAAATAACAGTGAATCCTATAAATACTGTTTTTCCTATACATACATACCTATAATAAAATTTCATTTATAAATTAGGTACAGTAAGAAATTAGCAACTAATAATAAAATAGAACACTTAAAATATTCTGTAATAAAAGTTATGTGACTATGTATACTCACTCTCTCTCAGAATATTAAATCAGGTAACTGAAACCACATAAAGTGAAACTCTAGATAAGAGGGATTACTGTACACAAAGTCCAGAGCCAACAACATCATTCAATCCTCTAATGGCATCTAATCCAAAGTGTCAAATTTAACTTCATAAATACTTGATCCTGTCTGACATGAAACACACAACCAATCATACTCAGTTTAATGAACAGAATTATAATAATTGTTTAAACCACAGTAATCGTTTATGCTTACCACTGTTTCTCAGCTTTACCTTCAAACTTAAAAACTTAAAAGTACTTTTGAAGAGACAGGTCTATTGGGATTCCCTTATCCTACTCCTAGAGGCCGTTTTAAAAGCATAAATATCAAGAACATCTTGAACCCATGTTCCAATCAGATCTGTATCCTAACACTCCTCTGGACCTCCATGAATTTGTATAATTTTCAACATCTCAGATGTTACTTCCTTCATAAAGCTTTCTGATTCTACTGCTAAAGTTAAGCCTCTCACAACACCCCTCTACTTCTTCTCCTGTGTAGCTCTTAAGATAAATATGAACTACATGGACAATTTAGTTTAATGTTTCCCTTATGTGTTTCATAGTCCTTGACACAATGTAATAAATATTCTGTGAATGAATGAATGAATGAATATGCAAATAGATGACAAATATCTCCTTCTCTATCCTCTTGTTTTACCCAAATTCTATAACGAACAAGATTCACCCCAAATTTACATTTAATGTAAAAGCTTTGCTACCAATACCAGTCTACAATGATCTGATGTTTTCCCGAACTCCTACTGTACTTTGATACAGATCCCAGAGTTTAGTCCTTGAATGTAAGCTGTCTTATACTTTTTAAAATACTATGTAAATATTACCTTCTAATTGATTTGCAGGGACTTAGCCTTAACAACACCCATATATATAATCAAAAAAAAAAATCGGTAAGTACTTCATAAATATTTTATTTTTAACATTTTTTTAGAGAGAGATTTTTGTTATAGGGAACATAAACTCGCTAGAGGGAAAGA